CTCCTCATATGCATGTGAGAGCTGGACAATGAATAAGGAAGACCAAAGAAGAGTTGATGCTTTTGAGTTGTGATGCTGGCGAAGAATGTTAAAAGTACCATGGACTGCTAAAAGAACTAACAGATCTTTCGTGGAGGAAGTGCAGCTGAGATGCCCCTTTGAAGTGAGAATGGCCAGACTTTGTCTCAACTACTTTGGTCACGTTTTCAGAAGGGACCATTCCCTGGAAAAGGATGTCATGCTTGGTAAGGTGGATGGTCGACGAAAGAGGGGAAGGCCTTCAACGAGATGGATTGACACAGTGGTTGCAACAATGGGCTCAAGTATAGCAAGGATCATGGAACTGGCGTGGGATCGGGTAGTGTTTTGTTCTGCTGCGCGTGAGGTTGCTATGAGTTGGAAACGACTTGACATCACCTAACAACAACAACAGGGCTGGGGCCAGGGGATGAAATGACTGCTAATGGGTTTGGAATTCATTTTTGGGGAATATGTTCTAAAACTGATTTAGAAAATATGTATAGTGATGGTTGCACAACTCTGTGAATATACTAAAAACCGTTGAATTTTACACTTTATATGGATGAACTTTATGGTACTGAATTATATTTGAATAAAGCTATTAAAAAAGGAAATATTAAATATAAATTAATTATATTTATTTAGTATATGTCATTTATTTTGCAAACACTTATATGGTAATTAAAATGGAGCTCTGGTGGCACAGTGATTAAGGCATTTGGCCGCTAACCAAAAGATGGGCACCTCCAACCCACCAGCCACCCTGAAGAAGAAAGATGAGGCAGCCTGCTTCTATAAAGATTTACAGCCTTGGAAACTGTATAGGGCAGTTTTACTCTGTCCTATGACAGAGTATAGTTCCAACTATGAGTTGGAATCAACTCAATGGCAGTGGGTTTTTGGTATATGGTGTATATTATGTTCAGGGACTGGGTTCCAAACCAAATGTGATTTTAGTTAATGCTTATAATAATTTCATGAACTGGATACTATTGTTATTCTCATTTTATAGATGAAGAAACTGAGGCACAGAGAGATTAAGTAACTTACCTAAGGTCCATTCAGTTAAAAATGGCAGTCAGGATTTGAACCCTGACACCCTGGTTCCAAAGTCTGTGATCTTCAGCACTATATTATGTTGCTTTTCCCAATGATATTTATAGTTTGTTTTTCTTAACTATAAATTCGGTAGATACCTAATGTAGAAAATTTGAAAATTAGTTCAGGGGGTACTTTGCTTTCCTATTTAGTCCTTGCTGCTCATGGGGCAAAGAGTTTCTCCCATCTCCAGCTGAAGACAGGAGACCTACCAGCGACCCTGCCTTACTTTGTGACCTTGGACAATTTCCCATCCTCTTTGGGCCTCAGATTTCCCACTTGCACAATGGGGAGAGAGTGAGATCATTTCCAGGTCTCTAATTCCCCCCCTAGGGAGCTCTGGTAGCGTAGTGCCTAAGGCACTTGACTGTTAACCAGAAGGCTGGCGGTTCAAACCCACCAATCACTCCTCGGAAGGAAGGTTGGGCAATCTACTTCCATAGTGATACTGCCTTGGAAACCCAAGGAGGGGTTGCTATGAGTTGGGTCTGACTCGATGGCACATAAC